ACGCTTGTGTGTGGATGCTGGGGTGGTGCTGCTATGAGTCGCTCGGCGGGTCTTGGTGCCCGCAGTTGTGGCCATCGACTTGGACTCACGTTGGAAGTCGTAGACGCGTGGCTGTATCCGCTGGATGCGGAGTCGGCTGGGGAGTACAGATCGACGAGTAGCTCGAGCATCGTCTTGTACATCGTGCTTGAAGGTTTCGTCATCCACCACGTTGGCAGCAACGGTGGCGTCAGTACGAAGTCCGTGTAGGACGGCCTTGGCTACTGAGGTGGCGTTCGCCGTCTGTAACATGAGAAGCCTCGCGTACATCTCCTTGGTCGAGGCAGCCGGGGGTTCTTCGGAGCGTGGATTTGAGAACGTGGCCCGCTTGTCGGTAAATACGACGATAGTCATGTCGTGGTAAGCTGATGTGGCAGTGAGATCGGACGGGGGCGTGTCCATCGGAGTGGTGGCCTTCTGGACTTGAGCCGCGACGTCGGGGCAAGCAAAGGCAAGCTTTAGCTCTACTTGCTGCGCTCTTGGAGGGCAATATAGTACAATTGCCAGGCATTCGCTGCAGCTGGCAGCTCTATGAGCATCTCTGGAGCAGACGATGACCTCGGTCGGTGGCGCGCTGGCAGCGCTGTCGGCGACAGTGTCTTCATCGGCGAGATGACGAGGCTGAAACGGAGTAGACTTGGTGCTGGGCTCCGTGGGATGTGCGAGGCTGGCCTTGGCAGCAGCATCTGAACGCGTCCAGCGAAGACGCGTGTTGGCAGGGTCCACCGGCGTCCACGTGATGGTGCGAGCCGGCGAGACGTGGTGAGGGAGATCTTCTTGGACAGGCGGCAGGAAAGCGAAAGCGGACATGGTTGACAGAGAAAGGTTGGAAGTTGGAGAAAGGTCTGGTGGTTGGGTTCTTCGCGGAAATTGGGAAGTGAGCTGAGAATGAAAGGCCGAGACCTGCGTGTGGTAAATTCTCGAAGTAAGCGACAATAGACAAGTTCTTCCGTGGACAAGCTCGTGGACTGTTTTTCTCGCTGTGCGTTCATGACAATTTTTGACGACATCAATCAAATCTTGATGGGTGTCGCTTATCTTGAACCACATGCGCTGCGTGGAGCTTCTTGTTGTAAAGTTTGGAGATACTGTGCGCCTCGTACACTGTGAGAGACTGCGTTAGATATCTCTGGTCGCTGTGTACTCCTTGATGTAAGTTTCGAAAGAGTGCACTTTCCTGTACAACTTCAACATACAACAATCCGTGTATTCATTTATGCACTAGGACACAAGGCTGCGCGCTCTGCAGTTTACGGTGCCACGCATTAATGCTACATGTTGGTGAACCGTTTTTTTTTCACTTGCGTAGAAGCAGGCACGTTTTGGTTCGTCATTTTTTTTTTCACTATGAACCTCGATGTCATCGAAAAGATACTACTACTACAAAACTAATCGAGATGGAAGTCTTATCGCGTGCTTGTGTTGGTAGAAGTCTATCAAGGTGAGGTGATCTCAAGTTTAATTTGATGTTCTCGTGCCGTTCGAGCTGTATCATACTGATCAGGTATGACCTGGACGGCATGACGGATTGTTAGCCAGAGTATTTGACCCGCGGATTTTGGTGAGCTGAACTAGCATTCAACTGTCTAAGGTGGCTGTGTGTTGTACCGACAGCCCGGGCGGGCCTCGTAATTTCGTATTCTCGCTTCTAGTTCACTAAGTGCGACCCATGCACATCAACTGTGTATGGCGACCCGAAAGGTCGTGAACAGGATTGGCTAGTAAAGGGATGATGGTCCTGTTCTGGGCGACGGTTTTGCTCTGTTCTGTTGGTGCGGCCGCCACCTCACTGCATGACAGCAACTCGGCACCATACAATGTTAACATCCCGCTTGCCAGTGATCCTGTGAGTTCCATCGAAGTCGTCCATCCAGCTCACGGCGCCATCGAAAAAGCGCCCGTTGGGTTTGACACGCAAATTAACATCCGTCCCAAAGGTGCCAAACTGTTTGCTGCTCAGTACAAAAATGCTGTCGTGTGTGTGGAGGTGAACGGCGTGGTCGTAGATTGTTCGCAGATTGGTAAATCAGAGTTCCGCTATCATCAGGTTGGGAGCTGCACAGTCCGCGCTTATCTTACGCGATCAGGCTCACTAAACGCCGGAAATCAAATGTTTGATTTTGAATCTGCTCCGATTTCTTTCACTTTAATGAACGAACCGGACTACGATGAGCTCATCGCTCGTGCAATTCGCAACAACGAGGCTCAACACCGCCCAGGATTTCGACAGTCACTCATCGAATGGGCCAATTTGCAGCGCAAGCGGCCAGACGGTGATATTCTCAAACGTCTTGAAATTGCAGAACCTAGCCGGAGAAACAACACAGCAGTACAGCGTGACCTACTGCTCCTTGTTGGCGTCAGGACGGCAGTTGTATCTCACTTTTCTTTTCGACAAGCTATTCGAGAAACTTGGGCGAGTAAATCGGCACTACCCGAAGGTGTTAAAGTGATTTTCCTCGGATGTCGTCCATTTGCTACTGCTCTTGAGGATGAAGTGGATAAACTTACTGAAGAAGCAAAATTGCGAGCGATATGGGAGGCCATTGAGCTAGAGAAACGTGTCTACAGAGATCTGATGACCGATGAACTGGACTGTGAAGATTCGTACTTCCGCCTGGCCGACAAGACAAAACAGTTCTTGCACTTCGCAGCAACAAGATATCCGACTGCAAAGTTTGTTATGGTAGCAGATGACGATCTCTATCTCCGTTTGGATAAAATATCCGCGCGACTTCAACATCAAAGCAAGCGCTACTATGCCGGTCCTGTCCGAGCGATAGAAGACGCTACGAAACAGAGGCCTATCCGTGATCCGGAGTCTCGAAACGTTCTATCTCGTGGCCAATACTCATTGAACGAATTGCCTCCATACGCGCTAGGAGCGAATTTTTTCTTGTCAATGGATTGCGTCGAGTTTGTGGCGAAAAACAGCGGTAGACTGCGCGATTTAGGCGGGATGGATGACATCTCAGTCGCGCTCTGGATGCTAATCATGCAGGTCCATCCAAAGCCGTTTAATGGTCTCAAATATCTGAATTCTGGAACGTGTCGGGATGATCTGGCTTCGTTAAGTGATTTAACGGAATCAGCAATACGTGTCATCCACGCCAACATCCAACAACAGCGTCGCTTTTGCCATGACTTTCAACGAAATGTTTGGCTTAGGCAGGACATTGGCGCTCCAGCAGAAGGGCAGCCGAGATTACTGTCTTTCGACCGCGAGAACGTATATTTCGATTTCACCATTCCGACGCCAACGGAATCATGGGCTGGACAGTTAATGATTACCGTATCGACAAAAACTCGTGCTGGCGTAAAAGTGTCATTTTTTCCAGCAAACGAAACTTTTCATCATACATTTTTGCGAAAAGTTTGTGTCCAAGTCCAGTTAAACTTCCCAAGCGCTATCACGACGTGCGCGGGTATTAGGAATCAAATACGTACACAACTACTGGAATTGTACGTCAAACTGGCAGCCAACACGTCGGTAGACCCGCTACAACTTAAACAATGGAAAGTTGCTTTCGAGCAAACGTAATGCATCGTCAAGCATAGTCCCCATCGTGTAATTACTGGCATAGACAAAACCATGATCTCGCAAGAAGTGTTATACTGCTGTCCTTCTGTGCTAGATACTAAGTACAGCGAGATGAACAGAGATTTGATGTTCGATTAGAATTTATCTGATGAGATGTCGTAGCACAGCATCAGCCATATATCGACTTGATACAGCCGGGTGCCACGAGAAAGCCTGGTAAAATGCGGTCATGTTCGTCACAGGTCGTTCTTGACGCATCCGACTATACAACTCGGGCGAGTTATCCACTTCTACGACAAACTCGGCGCAATCTTGAAGGTCATCAAAGCGTCCACAATCGATAAAACTAGCAGGATTAAACAACTGTGACACTGTTTTCGAGTCTCCCAGATAAATCGGCACACTACCCGCCAGAAATGCGTTCACCAGCTTCTCGGTAACATACCCAGACGTGCGTGTGTTTTCAAAGGCAATCACAAACTTGTATGGCGCGTACTGCCGCACTGCGTCGTCATTGTAGAACATGGCACCACGTGAAGCCAATTTCGCGGAATCAGGAGGCCGTGAAGATCCCGCACAGCTTCCAAGAGCATCGACAGGTCGAAGAAAATTAAGTAGATCAAACATCAGTTCACGGTTGCTGTCACAACGTGCGTACAAATACGCACAAAACTTTTGTTTTTCCATTCCCCGATTGGATTCCGACATAGACAACAATGGCATCGGCCCATGATCTAGACGTTCTGCAAAGGAGATACTCGCCATCGGAAGATAAACATGTTTGGTTCGATTTGCACTGGCCAATGTCGAGATCAACAGCACTCGTTCGTCAAGTCCGTCAGTGCTCCATGCTTCACCTGAAATCATCACCAGCTGCGTCGATCTGTTTGTTGTCGTTGGAAAAGTTGTGCTACAGTTTACATAACGCTCGAAATGATCTGCAATCATCTTCTGGCAGACAGGAGTGCTCACTGGGTTGCAGTTATCATCAATGATACTGAATACAAACACATCGGGAAGTCTACGATAGTGTCGATGCAAAATTTGTTCGGACATGACTAAAAGAGGGCGTTTCTGCTCAGCAAACACGGAAACGAAGAGGCATTCCAGCAAAACGCTCGAGAATGAGGCAGTTCGAGTGTACGCCACGATGAAAGGCGGCGCGTGGATATCTGTGTCAAATAAATTGTATCTCCACAGCTCCATTCGCGACAAATCGATGAAATCTGGATTCTTGACGTTTTCGTAAAATATCTGAAATTTATCTTGCGCTAGTTGCGTGATTACATGGCAGGATAAGTTGCTGGCAGCTCCTGGGAAGTTAAGGCGAACCGCACCACACATTCTACGGTGATAATTAAGCTGCGTCTCGAGTGCTGGAAAGTAAAGTAGCTTGATTCCTGCAGAAGAATCTGTAGATATTGTGCTGGTGATCTCGAGACCGTGCGCTGCTGTTGGGTCACGCAGCGAAAACTCAAATTTCAGCGTTTCAATCTGGTCCAGTAGTCTTGAATACCCTGTTGACGGTGCCAGATTTTTCGGCTTCATCCAAAAATGATAGTTGTACCCATGACATAGTCGCCGCATTTGGAGAAGATTATTATGTACAATTCGAACTGATAGCGGAGATAAGTCACCGAGTACAACGAGATCGTCGGTACAGTGACCACTACGTAGATGCCCCAGCTTACCAAAGGGCTGAGCGTGAACCTGGATTGCCAGCATCCATAGCGCCATGCTCATATCATCCATTCCCGCCATATTCATCAAATGCTCTCGATTCTTTGATATAAACTCGACACAATCCATGGAGAGAAAGAAATACGCCCCGATGGCAAATGGAGGCAAATTGGTCATTGGATAATCCTCTTTGCTCAGAAAATATCGGTAGTTTCCATCATTTTCGCGGATCAATTTTTCCTTCTGTGCGTTTTCAATGGCATGAACTTGTCCGCTGTAGAAGCGTATAGTAGGTGCTTTAATGGTTAACTGCTGTACGACTCGATCCACTCGCACATAAACATCATCGTCGGCGACCATAACGTATTGAGCTTGTGCATACTTCGTCGCAGTAAAATGCATGAACTCTTTGACTTTTCCAGGGAGATCAGCGTACGAATCATCGCATTCCAACTCGTCCGTCAGCAGGTCACCGTAAACCAGTTTTTCAAGCTGGATGGCCCCCCAAAGCCGACGACGATCAACTTCGTCGTCATCAAGAGAATCGCTGCGAATCTTGGCGAATGGCCGGCATCCTAAGAAGAATACTTTAACACCAGCAGGCAGTGTATCTTTGCTGGCCCATGTCTGCCGAATAGCCTGTCGAATGACAAAATTTGAAGCGACTGCTGTCTTAATCCCTACCACAAGTATCAAATCTTCTCCATTTAATTCATCAACGGACGAATTAAACTCGTTTGCATCCTGTGATAGTCGCTGAAGGAGTTCTTGATCCTGGCGGTACTGCTGTTGCTTTGCCCATTCAATAATGCTGAGATCAAAATCGGGGTAATGTTTTCCTTCTTCTCGTATCTGGTCGGATATCTGAGTATTAAATTCCGCATCGGATACGACAGAGAAATAGACTGTTTTCGATCGCCAGGATGGTACAGCTTGCATATTAGCTGAAATATAAGCAGAGACACTGAAATTTCCCGGGATATCATGTTCAATAGCCACATCCATTCCACCAATTTGAGAGCACGAAGTCGTAGTATTTCTAGCTCCAATCAGGTCGCTTGTCTCGATGCACATAAATTTCCCACTGTATTGCTTTGTAAAATACTCTGCTTGGTCTGGATGAAGGCTAATCTGTGTTTTGAAGGTTACCGGTGCCTTCTCGACTGCGCCATCGAGCGGATAAACGATATCGATGGACGTGATGGCATCTTGTACACTTGGTAACGAGTAGGGGGCTCCATAAGAATGAATGGCTGGCACAGTCTGAGCGCAGCTTGGAGAAGCAGTTGCACCGAGAAACAGCGCTATAAACCAGCGGGGCATACTACCTGGAAATTAGAGTAGTATCTGTCAAAACGAAAAAAGATTTGCCTGATAAATCAAGTTCGTTCGATTTTTTGATTAGCAATGCTAATTCCGCTTCGCTTGGCTCTACAAAGAAGCAAGAAATTTGGTAAATGTAAATGGTATTTGTTGCATTTCGCTAGCTCTAGTTTGCGTCTTTATCCCACGTGTGCCGATTGAAGCCGAGGCAGAAGTTGCGTCCTGACTTTAAGTTGTTGTGGATAATTCGCATCGCTGGTGGCCCCAAGTCTGCGTACGCGAGTAGCTCGTTCGTGCATGGCGCCTCGCGCAAGTTTTGGAATTGGGCAAGGTGTTGCGGATGGACTTGGATGGCCAGAAGCCACAGTGCTATAGTCACATCGTCCAGACATCCAAGTCCCTGCAATTCTTCACGATTATACGCGATGAAATCTACCACATCCATCGACATGAGGTAGTGTGGACCCCATGCAAAAGGTGGAAACTCGTCCAACGGATACACGGATTCAGGCAGATAGTAACGTCTCTGTGGGTCTCGCTCCGGTAGGAACGCGTTGCCTTCCTTCACATGACCAGCATAAAGGTCAGTGAGCGGTCCTAATGCTGCGAGTTGCTCCGCAAAGACATCGGCTCGCACATACACGTCCTCGTCAGCGATCATAACGTATCCAGCTCTTCGGAGTACATGGTCAGTTCCCACGAAATAAAGAAACTCTTTAACCTTCTGGGGCAGTGACGCGTATGAGTCCTCGCAGTCCAGAACGTCTGTGAGCAAGTCACTACCGTAAACCTTTTGCTCGTGGGCTATGGCTTGACGAACTTCTTCACTTGCGTCTACCGGAATTCGGCAAGCAGCAAAGAGTACGCGGACATTTGACGGCAAGTTATCCTTGCTGGCCCAAGTCTGGCGGATGGCCTGTCGAAACAGAAAACCGGCGATGACTCTGGTCTTCACTCCGATGACCAGCAACGGCGGGTTAGTCGGGCTGCTGTTTGGAAGTTTAGCTGCCGTGTCACCAGTGGCAGGATCGACCTCATGAGTCACATAGTTTGCTGTTTTAGATCCTCCTTCACTGTTTTGTAGTCGAAACCACTCTACAATGTTCATGTTCTCAGTTTCTCTGATTTCAGGTCCGTAGAGCGCTAAGTCGTCAAGGCGTTGTTGCTTTAGAGACGCTGCAAAGTCTTCATCGCTCAGGACCGTGAACGCCACTTCATATGATTGTAGCAGCTCCTTTCCTGTCTCGGGTGTGGCTGAGTCAAACATGACGAGGCGCGCCGTGTGGTTACCAGCTTCTATCGACTCTATCATGAGAGCTCCGCTCTCGATTGGAATACAGCGTCGCCAAGTATCATCCAGCTGCAAACACAGCCAACGTAGACCAGTATACGCGGCCATCAATGCGCTGAAGTCCGGCATTACAATCTGGAAGCGGAAAACTATAGGAGACTTGTACAGCACGTTTGGCTCCGGATACAACACACGCAGCTCCTCCAGCAACTCACCGTCGTGATGTAATGCACTCACATCGTTTCCAACGGTAGATGCAGCACCCGCCGTGCAGCAAGCCACCCAAAGCAATAAGATACTGGTCAGTCGCTGCATTGCCAAGCTTTAGGTAGTCAAATGCCGGAAGATCGCTTTGAAGTTCGAATTGACCAATCGAAAAGGATCGAAAACTGATAAACAAGTTGTGAAAATCAATCACAAAACGATAAAAAAAAAAACTCTCTTTTTGCTTCAACTCACTATCAACTAAACGTCATTACATCAGGTTACTCCTTGTAAGTATCTTCCAGTTCATAATTTTAACGATACACTACCCTTCTGTCTGCACGCATTAAGCATCGTCCTCTGTCTGCAAGAATATCTCAATTCAGACAGCTACTTACTTGCCTTTCACCGCGTGTCTTGACACAAGGATCGACGCGATAGTGTAAAGCGAGGAGCTGATCACGGCCAGGACGAATGATCCGTTGAGCGTGACGTCGTCTTCCTTGCCCAGTGGACGCGCTTGTGGGATCCACAGCGCGAACATGAGGATGGTCGAGACCTGTGCGATGCCCACGAAGACTTTGCCAATCAACACGAAGATGGAGCGTTTCTTGCAGCATGTGATGCCCAGTGTGAGCATCACGAAGGACAGTGCCCCTGCACTCATGCTGATGCCTCCGAAGGCCAATGTAGACGAGCCCAGAGCACCACAGGACTTGTCTAGGAACTTGTTGAACTGTGTGGGGTCCATGCCGGCCGTGGTGGCCAACATGGTGGCGTAGGCGAGCTGCATGTCGTTGCTTTCATCTCCTGCGCGGCTGTAGCCATCGCATACACTGTACTCGGAGAAATTGGACGTAAGACTCGAGTCCAAGTCCGTAACGTTGTATTCGGACGATGTATGGAAGAGGTAGCAGTGGTCAAAGCTGGCGCTTGCGTTAGCTCCGTTGCTGTCCGAGGAGAACTCAACGTCTGTGCAGAAACCCCAGACGCCCGCAGCGAAGTCGGAGCTGTCCAGTGTGTCCTGTAGTGACTCGTTCACGGTCGTGCTGGTGGTCCAAAGAGGCAGCGAGAAGGCCACGACGTTGAGCGCCACGGCCACGAATAGCACGATGAGAGACACGAGGCCTGCACACGAACAGGCCATTGTTGTTCAGGAGCTTCTTCTTGTTGAGAGCTGGGCGGTCGATCTTGGAATGACATGCCACTTCGAAGCGTCGGAACAATGTAGCCATGTAGTGGATATTGCATCTGATTCGCACCCATACATTCAACAAGTGGAAGAGAAGTCTTCACGAAGAGATCATCTTGACCCCCTGCCAGTCTTCATCTACGCAGCTCTGGCTCAAGTGTGTCAAAGTTAACACTGTCAAGAGTGAACTGCTGCCTTTGCCAAGTGAAAGTTGCCAACGGACTGAGAATCCGCTGCTGTCGGTTGTTGAATCTAAATATTTCGAGTTGAGCTTATGCGGCAACGTCGATTTTACCAGCGTGTACGGATGCTAAATTGGTCCTTTTGCAATTGATAACCATTCGCATTTGCTTCAAAACTAGCCACTGGACTTTCTCGAAGCCTCGCACTTCTCTTTTTTTTTTTTTCATTTCTTCTCAACGCCAGGCGGGCGGTTGGTGGCTCGGGCCATGCTGTCCTTGTCCTGTGGTGTCGGTGCGGCACCATCGACGCCAACTGCCTTCAAGCCGACGCCTCTGCCGCCTGGTAGCAAGCGCCTTGCCTACGAGACGTTCCTGGAGAAGCGAGCGTTGGCGGTGACGGAGCTCCAACCGCCTCCAATGCCTCATGCAGCTCATGGATCCCAACTAGAGCGAGCGATCCGCAGCTACGACAGCCTCGTGGCCCAAGTGCGACCGCTGGACCAGGCAGAGAGCAGTACGCCATCGACTTTGATGGATATCGTTCGCACACCTGATCCAAAGTCACTGAAAGTCCGCAAGACGAGAAGTATGGCGCTACCCAAAGTGGATCTGGATGAGATTGAGCTCCCAGAAATGCACGAAGCTCTGTGTCGTGTCTTCTGTCAGCCTAGCTCGTGGTCGCCTGCGTTTGCATCACCCGGAGACTATACGATCAAGATGTCGTCGGTCTTTCTGGATCACGGAGAAATCTGCTTTCGAATCGCTGTCATGTGTTGCTGTGCCAGGTCCATTTGCGATGGCTCACGCGTCAAGCCGGCTTCAAAGCGACAGTACTACGTCTCGTACGTCGAGCGCACGCAGCAGGAGATCGTACAGCTAACAGAGGCGCTGTCACTGCAGTATCTTGGCCATCGCTTGGCTAACAAGATGCCTACACATGGAACTCGCCTCATCACGACGCCGAAGCAACGGGCTTTGAACGAATACGGCGACGAAGTGATTCAGTTCTTGAGCTTCGTGATGCAGATCACCGAGATCGGCTTCAACTGGCTGGTCAAGTTGAAAGAGCCTGTATCAAACAACGTACGAGTACGCGATTTTCTTGGTCTCGCGCTGAGCTTTGGCGAGCAGACAATTGTAGCTACAAGTTCATGTGATGCTCGAATTGAAGGCCAAGATGGCGGCAATCGGCCGGTACTGCCAAGTGCTTGGCTGGACATCGACGTGAACATGTCTACAGATGCGAGTTTCTATGGAAAATGGTATGCCACGAGACGATCTCCGCGTGGTGAAGCCTTTTCTCGTGTGCTCGGACGTACATTTGACAATGGTAGCGACTTCGGGCTGTTGGTGCGATCGAACAGCTGCCTGAATCGGTCTGGAGCTGGCAAATGTGTCCGCTTCATTGACCCCAGCTACTGGTTGGACGAGACTCCAAACGATGGCTCGTTTACTGTGGAGATTTCGAGTGTGTCGATCATGGATGGCGTCGCTATGTTTGCGATCAGTGTACTCTTCTACTCGAACGGAGAGCTGGAAGTGACAACGGTTGATCGTCGTTACTCCGAGTTCGACGAGTTAGCCACGACACTGGAGGAGAAAGTGCCTTCGCTGCAAATTCGCAAGCTTCTTCCACCGAAAACTTTCTTTCGGTACCTATCGGCGAGCTTCTTAGAGCGCCGAGCCGCGTACTTGCAGCAGTTTCTTGCGCGTTTGCTGCGTCTCACCTTTCAAGGTGTGCTAGAACAGGAGATTCCTCTTACGGCTGAGCCTCGTGTTCGCGAATTCCTCAAACTACCTGCTGTTGAGTGGATCGTGGTCCCATGGAGCAAGCAGTCACCGACCCCCAGAGCGGCTCGAGATGGCTTCCGCTCCAACTTTTCACTGTCGCCTACTGCAGCATCCGAGTTTTCGCCCAGGTACACTTTATCTCCTCGCCGCAATCCACGCTGCACTCCCACTGACTCGACGCCACATCGCTACGAGAGTCTGATGCTCAAGCGCAGCGACTCCATGTAGAAGCAGCACTAAGAGAGCATCAAGCGCTCAAGAGAAGTAAATTATCTTTTCATTTATTCACTACAACTTGCATTCTCACACGTCGCAGATCTGTGACGTGTGTAAGCCCATTGTCTTTCATTTAATTCCAGAACGTAGTCTAGTCATCTTGCGGGACATGGAGAAGGCGGAGGTGGACGAGCTGCGGGAGCTCACGCAGCGCGTGTGCGAGAACGTGACGGCGTATGTCGGCGCGCAACTCGACGGTGAGTACGTAGTTTATGTTTTCAGGTCGATGGAAGGAAGGAGTTGTCGTTCTAGTCGTGTAAAGCTCACACCCGTGTTTGTGTCATTGGTGCAGGCTCGCTGGAGTCGATGCAGTTGATGCAGACGGTCGTAAACAATATCAATACAAAGTATGTGGGCATTAAACGAGAGGCCGAAAGTGTCGGCAAGCTGTCCAAGGTGCTGGAGGCCCGAGGTATTGAAGCAAGAATAATGGACGTGCACGCAGATGTGGCGATTCTGACGGCGTGTTGTTTCGTTCGGTCAGCAAAAACAATGGAAGAGAAAATGAACATTGTTGATGACATTGATGAGGAGCTCACGGAGCTGGAGGACATGGTGGAGCAGCTCGAACAGTACACAGGGTCCCTTGGTTCGTCGACTTCATTGTCGTCTGTGGTGAAGAAGCATCGCTGTTGCTAACCTATTTCTGCTTATTGTCATGCCTCAGAAATCAAGTTCAATGAACTGCGCTAAGACAAGCTTTAGCGTTTATCGATACGAGACAGTGATGAGGCAGTCAACTTTCTTTTCTTTCAAGGAGAGTTCGTAGCGACACAAATGCAAGAAACTCGTACGTGTGCCATCCACCCAAAGCGCACTGACCCCATTCTCATAGTGACCGCGATGTCAAAGTGAAGAACCATTTCGTAGTGTTTGCCAATATTTCCTGGCCACGAAGGTCTTGGAGCACGCTGGACTTAGTGGACCTGATCGCCACCTCGCCGCAATTGACTTGACTTCAGTATTGAGCCAAAATCGTATTTTTTTTTCCTTCTTCTATTTTTAGCACTGAATTGAAGCCGGAATGTGCCGGTAACTGCTATTTGCTTTATATTGGGCATGGGAGCTGTCCCTTCACTATAGCAAACGGCTCGCGGCTCACACCTCCACGACTCCCAAGACTCAGCAGTAGTAATGTCCGCCATGCAGAACATGAAGTGTGTGGTCGTCGGGTGAGTGGCAGCGCAAAAGTATCTTGTGCAGGTGAATATGGAGTCTGACTGCTCGTGTTGGCAATTATCCGCTAGCGACGGAGCCGTAGGCAAGACATGCGTGCTCATTTCGTATACGACCAATACGTTTCCGGGCGAGTACATCCCCACGGTGTTCGACAACTACAGCGCTAATGTGATGGTGGACAACCGGCCTATCAACCTTGGGCTCTGGGATACCGCGGGTCAGGAAGACTACGACCGCTTGCGGCCGCTGAGCTACCCACAGACAGACGTGTTCCTCATTTGCTTCTCCGTTGTTAGGTATGGTGGCATCACTTGGCTATGAGTGTTGTATCTGTTGTAACCGCGATATTTAATGCTGCAGTCGCGCCTCGTTCGAGAACGTCAAGTCAAAATGGCTACCGGAAATCCGCCACCACGCGCCGGGTGTGCCGTTTATTCTGGTGGGCACCAAGTCGGATCTGCGTGACGATGAAGAGACACTCGAAAAGCTGAAGGAGAAGAAGCTCGCCCCGATCACCAAGGAGCAGGTGCGTTTTTAAACGCTCGTTATTCTTAAAAAAAAAACGAAAATATGGTGGAGAGTTGATGGTGAGACTAATGTGTCCGTGCTGTTTGATATGGCCAGGGCGAGACGCTCAAAACGGAGCTGGGTGCGTACAAGTACATGGAATGCTCGGCACTGACGCAAAAGGGGCTCAAATCGGTATTCGACGAGGCTATTCGATGTGTGATCACCAACCAGCAGAATCCCAAGGCCAAGCAGAAATCTTTTAAGTGCTCCATCCTGTAGACGTGGGTTTACGACTGGCGAGGCCAAGATTTTATTGCTTGCACGGTTCTTACTGTACCCTTTGCACCGTGCTCGTCGTCTACTATCTCCGGACCAATACATCACTACCTTCTTACTTCGAAATACGATCTTATTCTTCTTGAAGTTACTTGGCTATGCGTTTGTAATTTTGTAAACTCCTGAAGCTATTTCTGATGTAGCAAAAAATGAATCAGATTACAACAATCAAGTGATGTCTATGTGTAAATACGTTTTCAACGGTATCTACTTGGCTATATTCGCAATTTGTGGAGACTGATGCTCGACATTTCTGGACGTGATGACTGAGAGCTCCAGCCTAACGTCGTGGCTGCTCAGCGCGGCCTACACGGGCGGCACGCTGTGCGTGGGCGCACTGCTCCTTCTGTACATGTACCAGGACCGGCTGCTCTACTTCCCCACAATCCCGGGAGCCTCCAAGTTCACGAAAGACAATCCTCCAGGTGCGGGAACTTCGGGTGGAGCACCACTGCTCCAGTACTGATACCTCTGTTATTGACAGGATACCGGCACCCGGGAGAGTTCTCCATCGACTATGAAGATCTGATGATCCCATGCAAAGACGGCGTGAAGATCAACGCGTGGCTGATGAAGCAGAAGGAGCACACGACTCGTCCGACGCTCATATTCTTCCATGGCAACGCTGGAAGTGAGCTCATCGCCAGAATACTGCTGCATTCTGTTAAAACTTTGATCTTGACAATCGGTCTGCTCGCTGTAGACATCGGCTATCGTCTGCCAAACGCTGTGCAGTTGTTCCGAAAGGTGGGGGTGAATGTTTTGCTGGTGGACTACCGAGGATTCGGCCACAGTGAGGGAACGCCGTCGGAGGAAGGGATCAAGCTAGATGCTGAGGTACGTGTGCTTATGTAGCAGTCGTTGCGACGATTGGAAGTGCTAATAACACGTAAACTTGGCACTGGCAGGCTGTTTTGGACGCCATGCACGCTCGCACGGACATCGACTCGTCGAAACTCGTGGCGTTTGGGCGGTCACTGGGTGGAGCAGTGTCTGTCTATCTTGCTGAGAAGGAGCCTTCTAGAGTACGTCGTTGGTGATCTTATCGATATAAAGCCTTTCAGTATGACTGACGAAATGTGTTGTCGTACAGGTGGCTGCTGTAGTGTTGGAAAATACTTTCCTCAGCATTTCAGCCATGGTAGACGCATTGATGCCCTTCCTATCCTACGTCAAGCCGCTTGTTCTGCGGATGGACTGGAACAACGAGCGTGCTATTCAAAAAATAAAGCAGCCGATCCTCTTCATCGCAGGTATGCAAGACGAGCTGGTGCCTCATTCTCACATGGAGAAGTTGCGCTCCCTCGCCGCCTCAAGTCAGCGTGTCGTGTGGTTTCCCGTACCTGGTGGAACACACAACGACTCGTGGCTGCGTGGAGGTGACAAGTATTACTCGGAGCTGCGGCAATTCCTGGACGCACTGGGCGGCGACACCACGTGTTTGGCCAGCGACAAGTCCTCGGACGAAGGCGTCTCGCCTCCGCAGGAAGAGAACGCCATCCCGAACATGCTACAGCAGCCGCTGCTCAGCTCACTCAAGAAACCTAAGATCGAGTAGACATAAACTACTTATGTTGCTGCAATGGGGCAATGTTGCGCTCAAATCGCCTAAGTTGAAGTGGTCTTTGTTGTGATTGGCTGATGGGTCTTTTTCACGTCGGAATCCCGGCGGACGCATCTTGTGTAGCTCTTCGGGATCTTTTCACTTCGCAATCCTGCGGTTGCCACACAAGCTCCGACCTGTTGTTATGGTGCTCCAGACGACCTCGATCCTGCGACGCGCGGCGCTATCTGCGCGACTGGCGTCCTCGCGCGCTTTTTCCAGTGCTGCCTCCAGCTCCGGCGCCTTCTTGACGATGGAGACGCGCTCCAACGGCGTGGCCATTGTGCGGCTGGACGACAAGGCGGCCAAAGTGAACACGATCTCGTCCAAGATGACGGCGGAGATGACGACGATGCTGGACACGGTGGAGAATGACCCCAATGTCAAGTCGGTGGTGCTCATCTCGGCCAAGCCGGGGGTGTTCATTGCCGGCGCGGATATCGCCGAGCTGAACGCGTGTAAGACGGAAGAGGAGATGCGTGACATGTCCAGAGCTGGCCAAGCGTTCATGAACCGGTTGGCTGGCTCTAAGAAGCCCTTCGTGGCGGCTATCGAGGGCTCCTGCATGGGCGGCGGCCTCGAGGTTGCGCTCGCCTGCCACTACCGCGTGGCGGCGAAGAGCAAGAAGACGCAGCTAGCTCTACCCGAAGTGATGCTGGGGCTGCTACCAGGCGCAGGTGGGACCCAGCGTCTACCTAAGCTTGTGGGCATCCAGGCCGCATTGGATATGATGCTGACGGGCAAGAACATCAAGCCCGACAAGGCATTGAAAATGGGTCTGGTGAACCAAGTGGCCGACCCGTTTGCACTTGAGAATGCAGCCATCTCAGCAGCTGAGCAACTCGCATCAGGCAGTTTGAAACCCAAGAAGAAGAACAAAGGACTGGTCAACCGCATCTTGGAGGACACGCCACTGCGTCAGATTGTCTTCAATAAGGCTGGAGAGATGGTGGAGAAGAAGACGGGAGGACACTACCCCGCTCCTAAGCTCATCCTGGAAGCCGCGCAGACGGGAATTGAACAGGGAATCACTAAAGGTCTAGAAGTTGAAGCAACTAACTTCGCCAAGCTGGGAATGACCAGCGAGGCCAAGGCACTGATGAGTATCTTCTTCGGACAGACAGCCCTGAAGAAGAATCGCTACGGTAAACCTGCGAAGCCTGTGGAGACTATGGCAGTCGTTGGCGCCGGACTGATGGGAGCTGGTATCGCACAGGTATCCGCTGCCAAAGGTGTGCGTGTCCTACTTAAGGACCGCGATGCTGCGGCTGCTGCTAAAGGAGAAGACTACGTTCGCAGCAACTTGGACCAGAAGGTGAAGCGCAAACGCATGACCATCTACGATCGTGACGCTGTGATGGCCAACGTCGTGCCTCTGTCGGACGAGGATGAGGTCTGGAAGACGCACATCAAGAAGGCGGATCTCGCTATTGAGGCGGTTTTTGAGGACTTGGCTCTGAAGCACAAGGTTCTGTCGGATCTGGAGAACTATGTGTCGAAAGATTGCGTCATTGCGACCAACACATCGGCACTTCCGATCGCGGACATTGCGTCTGCCTGCAAGCGACCGGAGAACGTGATCGGTATGCACTACTTCTCACCTGTGCCCAGTATGCCGCTACTGGAGATCATTCGTCACGCTGGTACGAGTGATGCGACTGCGGCGAAGGCTGTGGATCTGGGACTTCGTCAAGGCAAGACGGCTATCGTGGTGAAGGATGTCCCTGGTTTCTATGTGAACCGCTGTCTTGGCCCGTACATTGCGGAGACGCTGGCACTTGTGGGAGATGGCGTTGAACCGGAGAAGCTCGACAAACTCATGACCAAGTGGGGGCTTCCCGTGGGTCCCATCACGCTGGCTGACGAGGTGGGACTGGATGTGGCTTACCACGTTAATCAGACGCTGTCGAAGGCGCTGGGTGTGCGTATGGAGGGCGGTGATGCCAAGTTGTTTGAGGAGATGATTGAACAAGGATTTTTGGGCAAGAAATCTGGCAAGGGCTTCTTCGTGCAGCCTCCTAAGGGCAAGAAGAGCAAGAAGACGTTGAATGCGGATGCCATGAACCTTGTCAAGAAGTTCCAGAAGCAAGACTTGAAGCTCAGCGACGAAGACACGGTCAACCGTCTCATCTCGCGCTTCGTGAACGAGGCAGTTCTGTGTGTGCAAGACGAGATCATTGAGTCCCCATCGGAGGGCGACATTGGCGCTGTGTTCGGCATTGGCTTCCCACCTTTCATTGGCGGACCATTCCGCTATGTTGACAAGGTGGGCAGCACCAAGTTCACGGAGATGATGCAGCGTTATGCTGATCAGTACGGACCGCAGTTTGCCCCTGCACCGCTGTTGGAAGACATGGCCAAGACGAACAAGAAGTTCCACTCGAATTAAGGCCCCGCATCAGATTAACTTGGCGGTAGCAGTCGTTTATGATGATCTCACAATGCAACAGGGAGAAATGCACCTTTCATATTTTTGTGTTGTCGGTAAGATATCGTGTTGCTACAGGAAGTAGTAGTCGTCCAAGGATGTTCATGTGGGTACGCCAGCTCTCTGTTGCAGTGAGATAAGGGTCTAAGATTGCAAGATAATGGTAGAACACAATGATGAGAACGTACCAGCTTGGCATGGACCTTGTTCTCGCGCTCGTGGCTCTGTCGACGGAGATCCTCCACACGCTGCAGCTTCTCGTCCAGCTCCACCACCTTCAGTAGCAAAATCAGCGAGAATCAAGATGCGTGATGCGTAGAAAAATATGTACCTGGTGCACTTTAAAGCTGCCCGTGCTCGGCTCAGAGGCCGCTGCATTCGCAGACTCCAGTAAGTCCTGCTTCATACGTCGTGCCAGTGCAATACGCAGCGCATTCCTGCGCTCCTCCTCTTCCGCCTTCTTGGCCTCTTCCGACGTGTTGCTCTGGAGCTTTTCAACAAGCTGTGGAGGGGGTTCAGGAGCTGTCGCCTTCTGCTCCTGCTGGTATTCCTTCAACTGAGCCTCACGCTCGCGTTTCTTCTTTTCAATGATGCGGTCGCGTTGCTTCTTCAAGTATTCTTCACGGCGTTTGAGCTCCACCTCCGAGATCTCTGCTGCTTGTTGCATTTCGCGCTGTTTAGTGCGGTTCTCTTCGAGAGATTCCTTGTTCTTCTTGCAGATCTCCTCCGCCTTCTTCTTACTCTCTCGGATCTGCTGCTGTACCTCTGCAGGCGATAGCTGCCTTGTATCAGAGGCACTCGCGTGCTTATCTTCAGCCACTTTCGCCGCCACCGACGCAAGACGGAGCTGCTCGCCCTGTACGACCATGGACATGGCAAGAGCTGCCTCCAACTCGGCCTGTTCCATCTCCTCCTGCTTGTAGAGTACACTGAGCTCCATAAACTGTGCCTCCAGATCATGTTCGTCTTCAGTGGCCTCTTCGCGCAGTTCTTTAATAGCCTCCAGCTCGAGCTCGAGGTTGCGCTTAACCATGAGCTTCTTGAAGCTCATAAAGTCGTCCATGGCCAGAATCTGGTTGACCACGTCCGCACTGACACCGTCGCTGACGGAGCCGCCCGCAGCTTCGCGCTGCTTCTCGCAGATGGCTGCAAAGTCCGTGGCTGTGAGCCCCATCTCGGCTAGATGCGAGCCTAGGACGTTCTCTACTACTTCGCGAAATTGCGAATGCAGCTCCGTGTAGATAAATTTGTTCTCTTCGCTCGTGTCGAAGATGGCACAATTGTCGTCGATGAAGCACATGACCGGCAGCTCCCAAGCAGGGGAGCGGAACAGATTCAACACATAATCGAAGACCCAGTCGCTCTCCTCGGCCGTGAACTCCAGCGCATCGTCCGCCATGGTCGTAGCAGTTGTTGAGCGCGTCGTTTCGTGCGCAAAGATCCAAAATGGCTACATTTTGCGATCAAGTTTCACCCAATCATGTCTCGTGTCGCTCTCAGATCCGTTTTGGCTCACCACAAGTCCAGCACCAGCTGTAGCCAAGATGGAGGAAGGTCCCATGGCGTCGACCAAGCTCTATGTGGGCAACCTCTTCTACGAGCTCACGCAACGCGACGTGGAGGCCGAGTTCGGCAAGGTATGGCTACATTTCCACATACTCTAACTTCTCTCCTATCTCTAATTCGATCTCTAATCTCCATGCAGTTCGGTCCCATCGAACAATGCGCCGTCAAGAAAGGCTACGCGTTCGTCCACTACGAGCAGCTGGAGGACGCTGAGATGGCTGTGCAGGAGATGAACGACAAGGAACTGGGCGGCCGTCGACTGCGCGTGGCCTTCGCGGTCTCGCACGGCACGCAGCGCCGCTTCGACGGCCCTCCACCTCCCATGCAGAACAACGCGCCGCCCCCGCTGCTGCACAGCCCGCGCTTCCCCGTGAACGCGTCGCCCAACCTGTTCGTGGCCAACATCCCGCCTCATATCAAGATGAGTGAACTGGACCAGGCCTTCGCCCAGTTCGGAGAGGTCAAGAACGTCAAGGTGCTGCCCCAGGCCAGACCCGACGCGCCCATGTCCGCCTTCGTGGACTACTCGGACGTCTCGTCGGCGCAAAAAGCACACAGCGCGACGATCATCGTGGCCGGTCAGCATCTGCGCACGGACTATAACTTCCGCAAGTACGTGAAAAAAATGTCCAAAACTCTGATGCAGCCATTCTTATTGTGATTTTTGTGTGACTTAGGAACAAAAGTGAGGGTCCGAGACGCGTGAATCGAGGCAGCTTCGATGGCAGCGGCGGTTATGATGACGAAGAACGCGGTGGTTCTCGCTACGACTCGTATGACTCGAGGAAGAGCCGGTACGACGACGAGTTCGAGGACTCGGACCACCGTCGCCACCATCACCGCCACTCGAGTCGTCACCATTCGTCGCGACGCAGTCGTGAGGATCCGGAGGAGCGGGGACGCAGTGTCTCTCCTCCGCGCTATCGCCGCCACAGCAGCAGCAGCAGCATGCGGAGAGGCGAGGAAAGCTCGCGTTCGCGCGACTATCCGAGCGAGCGCTCGTACGCCCGTCCGGATGAATTGGACGAGTTCCAACAGCCCGAACGACGTCCGTACTATGAGTCGCGTTCGAGAGGAGAGGAACGGATGCCTCGTGAGTACTCGGGCCGAGGAGTGGACAAGACCTCGCAAGAGTACCGTCGCTACGGTCGACCGGAGATGTCGTCGCGCCACGGATCGCGTCGTCCCCGGAATGACCGCAGCTGGTGCGTATCTGCGTTGTGGTGTGGATTATTTTTTGTGTGTTTGCTGACTTGGGGCGTTGTTTTTAGGTCCCCTCCTCCGTCGGGCCCTCGCAGCCGTAGCCGCAGTCGCTAGACTGAAGTGTGCAACGTTGCATCGCACTGCGACTGTGTGGTGGTTGAGACTTATAGTGTCTCCTTTATATCGGGGTGCGAAGTAAAGCAAGCTGTGGACATCACGGATTATGTCGTGGACTTTCGAGAAGGCTTGGGTGGTAAGCATTCCGGTTGTATTTCGGACGAAATGGATAAAAGCATAAGTGGTCGCAACGTTTGGGCCACGATTGCTGGTCTGCATTAGTTTTTCGTGGATGGATTGTTCGCTGGTGTTGATTATTTTTTTCCGTCTTACTAACACCATGCGAGGGGCTCGTGGATTTCTTGGCATGTGACGGCAGTTCAAAAGTTCGTGCTATGCCGTGATATTCTGGATGCGTTTACCCTCACAACGTGGCTGTTCCACTCCTTACCGCACTTTTTGGATAACTGGCATTTATGGAATTGGTTAATTTGGCAACCGAGTTCGACGCACTTCAGCATTGCTTTCATTCGCAAAACTTCCGCTACCTGCTCACTTCACGCCATGCCATCTACTCGCTTGGGGGCTATAGCGGCAAATAATGCAACTCGGTTCGGATGAAGTCACTCACAGCAATCGAACGCAAGCTCCAAGCAGACGTTGACTAGTGTTTCGCTTTAAGTGATGATGCTATAATAGAGGGGAACTGCTGCTACTTATGCCTGATATCATCACCAAGACCGCCACTTTGTCCAGCATCGTAGCCAACGATCAAATAATAATTCAAGCTGAATAACAACCGTGGATTTCATCAAAGCCATGATGCATAATGCTAGTTCATTTCCCAATTCGCAGTTTTCGGCACACGCCCAAGAGACAAGACGATGAAGCTGTTTATCTACTCACTCACGCTCCTGTTGGCGGCTACCGCTGCTGTGAGTTCAAGCCTGGTGGGGAATGCGACTCCCTTGATCAAGAGCGGGCAGCGTGTACTACGCGATGAAGCCGCAAGCCTCGCTACCACCGACAACGAAGAGAAGGTCTGCTACTTTCTCTTCTGGCCCTTCCAGTGCTAAACCTTCCTGTTTGTCCCATGAGGTCAAGACGACTATAATAGTGTAGTGGGTTTAACTCAATCAAGCGTTCAACTTGTTTTGACATCCGCTTCTGGTTTTGCACGCTCCCGTCTCATAATGATCATGTGCGATTTCCATCAACGGTTGGCTGAAAAGCGCGTGTGAAATCGTACTCCCCACACCTAACACGCGTGATCAATTAGTTATCGAGGATATTACAAAATCACTCAAATGAACGCTTTTCAGCCAATCAGGATGTATTTTGTGGCTATTACGCGTGTAGGGTTAGGGTTCAGGATAACCTGCAAATCGATTGACGACTACCAAATAAACGCCGTTGACAGCAGTGCTGTTGCCTGCAATCCCTCATTCCACAATTTTCCAGGTAGCAAGAAACTGCCTGCACTAGTACAAACAGAATCACACACGCACTGTCGAGTAGACAGGAGACTTAAGCATGGCTTCCCCTTCTGAGGAGACCTCCAAAACCGAGCCGCAGAACTATGTGGCAGTGCAGACACCTCGGTCGTCGCACCAAATGCCCGAACAAAACTCGACGCAGGTCAAACAAGTATCCTTGCTAGAGCTTTTCTCCTTTACAGACACAGCCGACAAACTGCTCATGCTATTGGGTACTCTCGGAGCCTTTGGTGCTGGTGTCCTGAGACCCATTCTGGTCCTCCTGTACGGAGACATCATCAACGATTTTGGTGAGGCCGGTGAAGGCGAGACGCCCACCCTCACCATGTCCAGTGTCCGCACCGCATCCCTCAATTTCGCGATCGTAGGTATCGTCGGCTTTATCGCCGCATACCTGCAAGTCTACTGCTGGTCTCTCACGGCGTCACGTCAGTCCAAGCGCATCCGTAGCCTCTACGTCAACGCCATTATCACCAAGGAGATCGGCTGGTTCGACGTGAATGACCGATGCAGTTGTCGTCGCGCGTGGCCGACGCTACCATCGCTATCCAGGACGGCATGGGCGCCAAGATGAGCGACCTGTTACACTTCACCTCCACCATCGTATCGGGCATCGCCATCGCCATGGCCAAGGGCTGGGAGCTTACACTGATCCTGATGGCCGTGGTGCCGTTCGTGACCGTGAGCGGTATGATGGCCAAGAAGGTGACCGTCGCCGCCAGCAACCGCAGCATCCACTCGTACGCGCAGGCCGGCGCCGTAGCGCAGGAGTCGCTCAGCAACATCCGCACGGTGCACATGTTTAACTCCGTCGAGTACTTTATTGAGAAGTACAGGCGAGCGCTTGAGGGAGCAACACTCGCTGGAATCAAGAAGGAGTTTGCTGCTGGGTGGGGTACTGGACTTATGAACATGGTGCAGTTCCTCATGTACGCGCTCGGCTTCTTCCTCGGTGCCGTGTTTGTGGCACGCGATCAGCTGGACGGCAATACGTGCAGTGGCTCAAGCTGCTACGACGCCGGACGAATTATGACAGTCTTCTTCTCCGCCACGAAGGGAACTTTGGCAATTAGTCAGGCTGGCCCCAGTCTCCAGGCGGTCTACTCCGCATGTGCTGCCGCTTTCGATGTCTTTGAAGTGATCAAGCGACCGTCGCTGATCGAGCCCACCAACGACGACCAAGGCAAGAAACTCGATCACGTTTCCGGAGATATCGACATCGACAACGTGCAGTTCGCGTACCCATCTCGTCCCGAAGTGGAGGTGTGCCGCGGATACTCGCTCAAGATCAAGGCTGGCGAGAAGGTGGCGCTGGTCGGTCCGAGTGGCAGTGGCAAGAGCACTGTGATCTCGTTGCTGGAGCGCTTCTACGACCCGCTCGACGGCTCTGTCAAGATCGACGGTGAGGACGTCCGCTCACTGAACGTGAAGTGGTTGCGACAGCAGATCGGTCTGGTTGGGCAGGAGCCCGTACTGTTCGCGACGTCCATCATGGAGAATATTCGACACGGCCGGTCGGGCGCGTCGGATAGTGAAGTCGTGGAAGCTGCCAAGATGGCGAACGCGTTCAACTTCATCATGGAGTTTCCGGAGGGGTTTGCGACGGAAGTGGGCGAGCGAGGCGCTCAGTTGTCGGGAGGCCAGAAGCAGCGCATTGCCATCGCACGCGCTATCATTAAGAATCCCCCGATTCTGCTGCTGGACGAGGCGACGAGTGCGCTGGACACGGAGAGTGAGCGGATCGTGCAGGCGTCTCTGGATCGGTTGGTGGCGGGGTCGAACCGCACGACGATCATCGTGGCGCACCGCCTGTCGACGATCCGGGATGCCGACCGTATTGCCGTGCACAGTGGCGGTCAGATCGTGGAGCTCGGTTCTCATGACGAGTTGCTGCGTATCCCGAATGGCCACTACCGTCTTCTGTTGGAAGCTCAGTCGTATGCAACGTCTGAAGAGAAGAGCGAATTAAGCGAGAACGAGCGTGGGGTGGGTCGAACGGAGGTAAATCATCACGAAGGCATGCAGCTTGAATGTTCTTGGGCGTCGAGCAAGTCCGGTGTGCTGGATATTGGTACCTACAACACAAGCAAAACCAACGACAACGACAGTGACGATGAAGCCATCCCGAAAGTTTCATCGTTGCGCATCTGGAAAATGGGTCTGCCAGAATGGAAGTTCATTGCCATGGGTGGAGCGTCTTCGGTATTTAAAGGATCCGTATACCCATTATCTGGTATGTTCATCGCCAAGATCATTCATTTGTACTTCGAGCTTCAGAAGACGAAACGCGAGATGCTTCACGACATGCGCTACTATTCATTAGCTCTCGGCTGCATCGCGGTCGTGTGTTGCACGTCTTTCACGCTAACCGAGTACTGGTTTGGTATCGCTTCAAGTCGATTGATCAGCCGGGTCCGTCTCGCGACATACAGCGGTATGCTGCACCAGGAAGTGGGCTGGTTTGACCTCAAAGAAAACGCGTCGGGCACTCTTGTGTCTCAACTGACAGCCGATTCCGCGATTCTCCAGTCAATTACATCGGACTTTCTCAACCGAAGTCTTATGATCGTCACGACCTTCACCGTCATATTCGTGATATCCTTCTCGTACAGTTGGGAAATGACCCTCATTATGCTCGCTATTACTCCCTTCCTGGTTGGCGCCAATTTAGTGCGTGTGAAACAAATGGCAGGACAAATGAACGCAAAGAAAAACAACGACGCCGACGCCGCCGCGGGGTTCCTTCTTTCTGAGACCGTCGATTCGATTCGCACCGTCGCATCATTTGGCATGGAAAAGTCCGTGACTGCTCGGTACACGTCGTTCCTGAACGTCTCCAATGATCTAGACAAGAAGCTAAGTGTATCTGGAGGTGCTTCATTTGGACTGTCCCAAGGTATGATCTTCTGGGTCTTGGCGTTCGTCTTCTACATTGGCGGGATTTTAGTCTCGCACGGAACGATCAGCTTTGAGGACCTTTTCGTTGTTCTCGTAGTCTTCATGATGGGATCCTTCAGTGTTAGCATGGCTTCGCAAGGATCCGTGGATGGCGAGAAGGCGAAGCGAGCCGCAGCCAACGTGTTCAAAATCATCGACCGCGTGCCGAAGATCGACGCCACGTCCACTGCAGGGACCGTGCTGCCTAGTGTCCAAGGCAACATTGACTTCAAGGACCTCGCGTTCGCGTACCCGTCGCGGCCGGACGCCGTCATCTACCAAGGCTACAATCTGTCTGTTCGACGTGGGCAGACGGTGGCTTTGGTGGGCGCGAGCGGTAGCGGCAAGAGTACGGCTATCGCACTATTGGAGCGCTTCTACGACCCGTCGTCGGGCATGGTGACGCTGGACGGCCACGACGTGCGTAGCCTGAGTTTGCCATGGTTACGCGATCGCATCTCGTTAGTGAGCCAGGAGCCCGTACTGTTCTCGGGCACGATCGCGGAGAATATCGCTCTGGGCAAACCTGGTGCGAGTCGTGCAGAGGTGGAGGCGGCGGCAAAGAGTGCCAACGCCTTCGACTTCATCTCGAACTTCCCACTGGGCTTCGACACGGAGGTGGGCGACCGCGGCGCACAGGTGTCGGGTGGCCAGAAGCAACGCATCGCCATCGCGCGCGCCATTCTGCGCGACCCGGACGTGTTACTTCTGGACGAGGCGACGAGTGCACTGGACAACGAGAGCGAACACATTGTGCAGGCGTCGCTGGACGCTCTGGTGGTCCAGAAGCAGCGCACGACGATTGTGGTGGCTCACCGTTTGTCGACGATTCGGAAGGCGGATATGATCGCGGTGACGCGTGATGGCTCGATCGTGGAGCTGGGTAGTCACGAGGAGCTGATGCGGTTGCCGGGAGGTGAGTATCGAGGTATGGTGGAGCAGCAGGCTGGCACAGTAGCTTAACAAGAATGGTTGGGCTGGGCAACGTACTATGTACCGGCAGAGTAGAACAATAGTGATGACGCGGAGTGGATAATAAAGCTGAGCTCATGTGGGCTCAACTAAAGCATTGGGTGCAGGGTATAGATGGTTATTTTCTGCAAGTTTGAATTGATAGTAATTACCACTTCAACACTAGTTTTCAGCGATGCGGCTGGATACGCGCGGCGATTCTGATAGCAAAAGGGTCAGGGAGCTACGGTTTAAGCGATCACTCACCAAATGCGGTATCGATGCGGGATGTCTCATCGATAATGAATTTTATGAGTTATCCTTTCGTGGCTATAATTATTAATCGTATACTTACTTATCCAAGTTAAATTAATTCAATGTACACTTATACAAGCTAAATCAATCCTCTGTACATTTATGCAAGCTCAAATCGGAAGTCGAGGAAAAAAAAGAATCCAAAAGCTTTCAGAGTTTAAGAACTTTGAAAGCGATCAGGAACCTTTTTTTAAAAAAAGAAATGAACTTGTGGGCGGATTTAACCGGACGATTATCTAGTTTTACCGGAAAGGGTTGGGGGTACAAATGAGCTATTTATTTTTCACATTATTACACAGCGATCGTCAATCACGAGCAAGAGCGATTCGGCCTGCACAAGGTCCACATCAGCCCGGTATGGCACGGCAAGACAAGGTCCATGTCATCGATGAAGTGTTTCACCGCGCTGCTATTGCTGTTCATTTGCCATTCTCGTGTTCTTACGCACTACTGAAGTCACATTTTGTCAGTGCACCGTGTCTGAAGAGTGCTCACTGACGTGAGCGATCGTTAACTCTACACCATACTTGTTTGCTGATTTCTTCCGAGGTACTAGTACGAGTCTATTGTTGTATTATGCGTTGTTTGGCTTGATGTCATTTTTCACAATGCCAATATCTACGGTAGTAGATAGAATGCGATTATCAAACATTAAAACATCGAACTACAATATATCTACACAAACGGCTAACTGCCAAAGTTATGCCTGTAACGGCGCTATACTCAGCAATGGCCGCCAACGTAGATATATCCTATTTGATGCAGTGATCTCTGTAGTGGCGATTCCAGCACATTTTGGATTGGCTCTGCTGCGCCATGAAGTGCTGCGCGGGCAGGCTTAAATCACTGTTATGAAGCGATTGTAGTTTTAGTGCTGGACTTGTGATCGTAAAATAACGTTGGGTGGCCTACAGTGGCTGATACAGACTCTGTTCAACCAAGACTATAATATAGAGGATGCTGCCGCGTGAACGTTTGCTAGTAGCAGGTTGTGATACAGGATAACGCAAACCACCCAAAATGAAGGTGACTTAGGTAGCCGAACGATTCGCTTGCTTGGCCTCCCGTACCCACCTTCTCCATAATATCTCGGTGGTATAATTCCAAGATCAGCTATAAGTAAGGCTAAGCTACGAAATTGCCGCGTGACTACCTCTCAAGTTTAATCACCGGAAGACTTCCGGTATTTTCCGATCATTGGCGCATCAACCCTGAATTACTACAAGTTTTGTTTGCCATTTTTGAACATCTCGGAAAATACCGGCAATCCGTCCGGTGAGTACATAATCTGCGACCCTTGAAATCCGGTAAAATTCCAGGTAATTTGAAATCGATTAGGTTCGGTTACCGCTTTTCAAAACGTTTAGATCCAAAGTTTCACGTATCTTCCACTCTGATGAAACTACCGAGTTAGGATATGCAGGTTACGTGGTTTGCAGATGCAGTAGAAGTCATTCGCGTGAAGCAGAGCAGGTCACGAAGGCACATACGTAGGTTCATGCATTCAGCTTCTATCGAGGCAAATAGATGGTTTCCATCTTCAGTTTAAAAGCAACGTTGTATTGTAGTTCTTTTAAGACCGGTAGTGATAGTCTATGTAGTTGTCACCGCTTGTAGCTCCACCATACCTCGATACTCACCTCCCGGTAACCGCATCAGCTCCTCGTGACTACCCAGCTCCACGATCGAGCCATCACGCGTCACCGCGATCATATCCGCCTTCCGAATCGTCGACAAACGGTGAGCCACCACAATCGTCGTGCGCTGCTTCTGGACCACCAGAGCGTCCAGCGACGCCTGCACAATGTGTTCGCTCTCGTTGTCCAGTGCACTCGTCGCCTCGTCCAGAAGTAACACGTCCGGGTCGCGCAGAATGGCGCGCGCGATGGCGATGCGTTGCTTCTGGCCACCCGACACCTGTGCGCCGCGGTCGCCCACCTCCGTGTCGAAGCCCAGTGGGAAGTTCGAGATGAAGTCGAAGGCGTTGGCACTCTTTGCCGCCGCCTCCACCTCTGCACGACTCGCACCAGGTTTGCCCAGAGCGATATTCTCCGCGATCGTGCCCGAGAACAGTACGGGCTCCTGGCTCACTAACGAGATGCGATCGCGTAACCATGGCAAACTCAGGCTACGCACGTCGTGGCCGTCCAGCGTCACCATGCCCGACGACGGGTCGTAGAAGCGCTCCAATAGTGCGATAGCCGTACTCTTGCCGCTACCGCTCGCGCCCACCAAAGCCACCGTCTGCCCACGTCGAACAGACAGATTGTAGCCTTGGTAGATGACGGCGTCCGGCCGCGACGGGTACGCGAACGCGAGGTC